CCCCCCCCCCCCCGCTCATGCTCTATCTCTCTCTGTCTGTAAAAACAATAATAAAATGTTAAAAAAATTATTTAAGAAATTTTAAAAAAAGATTAAAGTTCTCACTTGCCATCTTTCCACTCCCTTTCTCCAGGTGGTAACCACTGCTAATAGTTTGATGTGTATCCTTAGGGCATTCTCAATTCATTTACAAAGAAAAAGGAAGGAAAGAAGCAAAGAGAGGAATAAAGGAGTTATTTTTACAGAAATGAGATAATATCAGGGCACCTGGGTGGCTCAGTAGGTTAACCATCTGACCCTTGATTTCAGCTCAGGTCATGATATCACAGTTTGTGAGATCAAGCCCTGTGTCAGACTCTGTCTTGGCAGCGAGGAGCCTGCTTGGGATTCTCTCTCTCTCTCTCTCTCTCTCTCTCTCTCTCTCTCTCTGTCTCTACCCCTCCCCTGCTTGCACACTTGCATATGTTCTCTCTCTCTCTCAAAATAAATAATTTTTTTAAAAACGAGATATTATTATTCATGTTCTTTCACACAAAAGTATCTTTCACACAAAAAGTATCTTTCACACAAAAGTATCTCATACACATCTAATATTTATGCTTTCTTTTAACAGCTGCACAGTATTTATTAACCCAGATGGCCATAATTTGTTAACCATGGCCCTGTTGATAGACATTTAAATTGTCTCCAATTTGTTCTTATTCCAAGCCATGCTACAGTGAGATCATTGCCCACATATCTGTTGGCACTTTATGTGAATATTTCTAGGGACAAGGGGGAGAGCTGGGTCAAAGTTATAGCAATTTCTGTTTTGATAGGTCCTGTCAAAGTGTCTTTCCAAGTCTCTAAGAAGTTACATGTCTACCAGTTATTAGTTTAGGGTTTTTTTTTTTTTCCTAATTCTTTATATGTATTAGAAACAATTCTTCCACAAAACAAGCAAATAGAAGTAATGAATAGGGGCACCTGGATGGCTCAGTCAGTTACACCTCTGATTCTTGATTTGGGCTCAGGTCATGATTTCATGGTTCGTGAGTTCAAGTCCCACATCAGGCTTTGTGCTGATGGCATGGAGCCTGCTTAGGGTTCTCTGTCTCCCTCTCTCTCTGCATCTCTCCACTTGCTCTCTCTCTGTCTCTCTCTCTCTCTCTCTCTCTTTCTCTCAAAAATAAATAAACATTTGAAAAACAAAGAAGTAATGAATAGAGCATATACAAAGGCTTAAGGATTATCATTTAAGGATACTTTTACATCCTTCTTTCAATTTTTTATGAAATTGTGATTTTATCTCATAGAGAAAAAGTAGCAAGCATGAAGTTGGGTTTTTTTCTTGCTTTTTTTTTTTAAGACATTTTCTTCAGAGTAATTTCAGGTTCATAGCAAAATCAAGGGGAAGATACATAGATTTCCCATCTACTCCCTGCCCAGTAGACTCTCCCATTGTCAATAGCCCCAACCAGAGTGTTACATTTGTTACAACTGATAAACCTACATTGACACATTATAATTACCCAAAGTCCATAGTTGACATTAGGGTTCACTCTTGGTGGTGTATTTTCTATGGGTTTGAACAAATGATAAATATCCATCATTATAAAGTACCCTTCCCTCCTCCCCAATCCCTGGCAACCATTAACTTTTTATTATCTGCAGAATTTTGTCTTTCCCAGAATATTATATAGTTAGAATCATACACTGTGTAGCTGATTTCAGACTGCTTCTTTCACTTAGTAATATGCACTCAAGGTTCTCCCATGTCTTTTTGTGCCTTGAGAGCCCATTTAGTTTTAGTGTTAATTAATATTCTAGTTTCTGGATGTACCATAGTTTATTTATCCATTCACCTACTGAAAGACATTGTGGATGCTTCTAGGTTTGGGCACTTATGAATAAAGCTGCTATAATCACCTTTGTACAGGTTTTTGTGTGAGCATAAGTTTTCAGTTCCTCTGGGTAAATACCAAGGAGTGCAACTGCTGGATCATATGTGAAGACTTGTTTAGTTTTGTAAGAAATCACCAACTATCTTTCCTAATGACTGTACCATTTTTCATTCCCACCAGCAATCAATGAGAGTTTCTGTTGTTCCACCTCTTCCTCGCCATTTGGTATTGTCCGTGTTGTGGATATTAGCCATTCTAATAGGTATGTAGTGATAGCTCATTGTTGTTTTAATTTGCAGTTCTCTAATGACATATGTGATATGGAACACCTTTTCAGGTGCATATTTGCCATCTGCATGTCTTCTTCCATGAGGTATCTGATAAGATTTTTCTTATCCCACCTTTTAATCAGATTGTTTATTTTCTTCTTCTTGAGTTTTAAGGGTTCTTTGTATATTTTGGATACAGTTCTTTATCAAATGTGTCTTTTGCAAGTATTTCCTCCCAGTCTCTGGCTTGTCTTCTTATTCTCTTGACGTTATATTTCACAGAGCATAAGTGCTTAATTTTAAGGAAGTTCAGCTTATTCATTATTTCTTTCATGGATCATGCTTTTGGTGTTGTATCCAAAAAATCATCACCATACCCAAGGTCATCCAGGTTTTCTCCTATGTTATCTTTGGTTTTATCATTTCACATTTTACATTTAGGTTTTGACCCATTTTGAGTTAATTTTTGTGAAGGGTGTAAGATTTATCTAGATTCTTTTTTTTTTTTTTTTTTTTTTTTTTTTTTTTTTTTTTTTTTGCATGTGGATGTCCATTTGTTCCAATACCATTGGTTGAAGAGACTGCCTTTTCTCCATTGTATAGCCTTTGCTCCTGTGTCAAAAATCAGTTGACTCTGTTTATGTGGGTCTACATCTGGCCTCTCTATTCTGTTCCCCTGATCTGTTTTTTCACTAACAGCACACTGTCTTGACTACTCCAGTTTTTATACTAAGTTTTAAAGCCAGGTAGTGTCCATCCTCCAATTTGTTCTTTGATGTTGTATTGTCTATTCTGGGTTTTATGCATCTCCATAAAAACTTTGTAATTAGTTTGTCAGTGTCCACAAAATAACTTACTGGAACCTTGACTGGGATTGCACTGAATCTCTAAATCAAGTTTGGGGAGAACTGATAATGTTGTGGGTTTTTTAAAAAAAAATTTTGAAGTAAAATTCATTTACAGTGAAGCGCACATATCTGAAGTGTACAATTCAATGAGTTTTGATAAATGTAATAGAGAATATTTGTATCACCTTAGAAATTTCTGTTTCACCCACTTTCAGTAAATCCCAACCTCTATAATATTCTCATATACATTTTTTTTGTGGACATATTTTCAGTTCCTTTGAATAAGAACCTAGGAGTAGAATTACTGAGTGATAGGGTAGTTGTATATTTAACTTCATAAGACATTATAATATAGATGGTACCATTTTATATTCCAACTAACACAGTATGATAGTTTTAGGTATTCTACGGTCTCACCAAGATTTGGTATGAAATGATATATTGCTACGGTTTTAGTTTGCAAATCTCGACAGTGAATGATGTTTGAGCATTTATTCTTGTACATTTCTTTTGTGAAGTATATGTTGTAGTAGTGTTTTGTCCATTTTTAAATTCTTGTTTGAGTTTTACTTGTTGATTTGTAGTTATTTATGTATTCCCTATATAGCTCTTTTCTCAGATATACATATGCATTATATTTTCTTACAATCTGTGCCTTATTGTTTTATTTAATTAATGGGTCTTTTAGATAAACAGAAGTCTTAAAATTTTGATAGTCCAATTTTTAAATATCCCTTTTATGTTTAATGTTTTTGTCTCCTAATAAGAAATATTTGCCAACCCATGGTCTCAAAGATATTATATTCTCCTATGCTCTCTTCTAGAAACTTACTAGTTTTAGATTCTAGGTTCGGATCTAAAAACATCTCAATTAATACCTGTGTGTGGTGTGAGGTGGGAGCTATGGTTCATATGTTTCAAAAGGTTTATCCAATTGTTCCTATACTATCCATTAGCATAAAGGCATTACTCCCTTATTTTTTATTATCATTTTAATGTTTATAGGACCCATGGTATTATTCTCTATTTCATTCCTGATATTGGTAATTCGTGCTTCTCTTTTCTTCTTGATCAGCCTTGCTAGGAGTTTGTTAATTTTATTTAATCTTTTCAAAGAAACGTCTTTTGGCTTTTATTAATTTCTTCTATTGTTTTGTATTTTATCAATTTCTGCTCTTTAAAAAAATGGTTTTATATACGGAAATTATGTATATGGCCTAATTTCTTCTTTTAGAGCAATTTAAAGTGAAATCTTACATCATTGGTTTTATATCATTGGTTTTAAATGATATCAAAATATCATTTAATGTGCCCACTTCGGCAGAACATATACTAAAATATCGTTTAAAGTTTATTCCCTCTAAACACCGATTTAACTGCATTCTGCAAATTTTGATGTGTTATATGTTCACGATCACTTACTTTTAAATGGTTTCTGAGATGCCTGGGTGGCTCAGTTGGTTAAGCGTCTGCCTTTGGATCAGGTCATGATCTCGTGGTTAGCGGGTTTGAGCCCTGCATCAGGCTCTCTGCTGTCAGCATGGGGCCCACTTTGGATCCTCTGTCCCCTTGTCTCTCTGCCCCTCCCCCACTCATGTTCTCTGTCTCTCTCAAAAAATAAACATTAGGGGCGCCTGGGTGGCTCAGTCGGTTAAGTGTCCGACTTTGGCTCAGGTCATGATCTCGTGGTTCACGAGTTCGAGCCCCGCGTCGGGCTCTGTACTGACAGCTCGGAGCCTGGAGCCTGCTTCCGATTCTGTTTCTCCCTCTCTCTCTGACCCTCCCCCCATTCATGCTCTGTCTCTCTCTATCTCAAAACTAAATAAACGTTAAAAAAAATTAAAAAAAAATAAACATTAAAAAAATGTTTAAATGGTTTCCAATTTTCCTTTTTTATTTTTCCTTTGAACCACAGTTCCTTTTGCAGTCTTCAAGGTTCTTAGTGTTGTTAAGTTCTACTATAACTCTACTGTGTAAGGAAATAACTTTGTAAAATTTCAATCCTTTGAAATTTGAGACTTATTTTATGGCCCAACATACAGCCTATCCTGATGAATATTCTATGTGTGCTTGAAAAGAACATGTGTCCTGAAGTTTGGGGGTATAGCATTTTATAAAAGTCCATTAGGTCAGACTGGTTGATGATGTTCAAATCTGCTAGAGTCTTGATTTTTCATCTAGTTTTTCTATCAGTTACTGAAACCATGATGTTCAAGTCTCTAACTGTGATTGTGGATTTATTTCTTTCCTTGGTTCTGTCAGTTTTTGCTTCATGTATTTTGAAGCTGTTGTTAACTGCATAAACATTTATGATTATTGTGTTTCCTATTGAAATGAACATTTTATCATTATGGAATGCCTTTAAGTTCTAGTCATTCCCTTTGCTCAAAGCCCACATTTGTGTTGGGTTAATATAGCCACACCGTATTTCTTTTGCTTAGGGTTTGCATGAGTATCTCCTCACTTTTATTTTTAATCTATTAGTCTCCTTGTAGCTCTTATAGATTGCATATTCTTGAATCTTGCTTTTTATGCTATTTGCCATAATTTTAATTGGTGTTTAGTTTATTTACATTTAATATTGATATAGTTGAACTTAGGTTTACCATTTTTCTATTTGTTTTCTATTTGTTCCATCTTTTTTCCTTTGTTTTTCCTTCCTTATGCTATTTGGGTTAATCACATATTTAGAATATTCATTTTAATTTCTCTATGGATTTAGACTCTACCTTTTTGGATTTTTTAAGGTATTTTCTAGGTATTATACAATGCATTCTTAACTTACTGTGGCCTACCTAGTAGAGTGAATATTTTACTCCTGCATGTAAAATGTAAAAATCTAGCAACAGTAAAATTCTATTAATGCCCAGTCACATATATATGCATGTATTGTAAATAGTAAAATACAGTGTTATAAACTTTGCTTTAAACAGTGAGCTCTTTTTTTTAATTGGAAAGAAAATATTTTACACATATCCACTTTTGTGTAACAATTTCTGGTGCTATTTATTGCTTCTGTTGATCTGAGTTTGTACCTGCTATCATTTCCATTTAGCCTGAAAATTTTTCTTTGACATATCTTTAGGAAGTCAGACTTTACCTTCATTTCTGAAGGATATTTTTGCTGGATATAGAATTCTAAATGCACTGAATTTATCTTTCAGCACTTTAAAGATGTTCAATTGTTTCTGTTGAAAAGTCAGTGATAATCACTCTCCCTTTAGTGATGTCTTTTTCCTTTGACAACTTTTCAACTGGTTTTCAGAACCTTGGCTTAATTGTGCCTACATGTGGTTTGTTGTTGTGGGGTTTGTTTGTTTGTTTGTTTGTGTATTTGGGGTTTTTTTTGTACTTACATGGGTTTGCTGAGCTGCTTGGCTCTATAACGACGTTTTCTACCAAATTTGGGAGATTTTCATCTATTTACTAATTTATTTTTCTCTTTCATTTTCTCTCTCCTCTTCTTCTGAGAACCCAATTAAATGATTTTTAGATTGATGTTTTCCCCACAGGACCCTGAAGTTCTTTTGACATACTTGTAAAACATTTTTTTCTGTCTGTTCTTCAGATTGGATAGTCTCCACTGATGTCTTCAAATTTCCTGAATCTGGGGGCGCCTGGGTGGCGCAGTCGGTTAAGCGTCCGACTTCAGCCAGGTCACGATCTCGCGGTCCGTGAGTTCGAGCCCCGCGTCGGGCTCTGGGCTGATGGCTCAGAGCCTGGAGCCTGTTTCGGATTCTGTGTCTCCCTCTCTCTCTGCCCCTCCCCCGTTCATGCTCTGTCTCTCTCTGTCCTAAAAATAAATAAAAAACGTTGAAAAAAATTAAAAAAAAAAAAATTTCCTGAATCTTTTTACTACTCTTAAGCCTATCTGTTGAATTTGGTTTTAAATATTATACTTTTCAGTTCTATAATTTCCATATCTTTGCTCTAATTCCCTACATGTCTGCTCATTATGATTATCTTATCCTTCAAGTCCTTTTACAAATATATAATAGCTGCATTAAAGTCTTTCATACATCTGAGTCATCTTGTGTCATTTACTATTTGGTCACGTTTTCTGTTTCTTCATATGTCTAGTAATTGTTTAATGTATACTAGACATTGTAGAGGGTTCCTTATAGACTCTGGTTTTTGTTATTTTCCTCTGAATAGTAATGAATTTTGTTCTAGTTGGTAGTTACATTATTGGCTGATCACCCTGCACCCTGAACTTGTAGAGACTAGGTTTGATGCTTTGATGGAGTCCATTTCAGTTTTGTCATTAGTCCCAGGGCAAATCTCTTAAATATGATATCTAGTCTCTATGTCTAAGGCACGGCTTTTCTAAAGTTTAAGTAAAAATCTTGAGAAATCACCAAGCTCCTCAAACTTGGCAGGACTCCGATTCTAAAGTCTGTCTCTATGCAGTGGGCAGAAGCTGGAATCTCTGTTCTATTCTTTCAGTGTCCTGGCTGTAGTTTTCCACAGGGCAATTTGGAATCTCTGAACTGCACATGCATAGTTCAGAGGTCAGGCAAGGATTTGAAAGGATGATATAAGTAGTTTTGAGGCCTATTCCCTGCTGGTCCCTCTTTATGGGATTTTTACCCCTTAATTTCCAGTCACTATGATAGCTCCCAAACTTCATCCTCTGAACCCTCAGGCCAATAAGACTATGACTTTCTGTTTGAAGTGAAGTTGTCTTGTCCCAGGTAGACTCTAGAGCATCCTTGGGGAAACCCATAAACATATTGATCTTATCCAGAATGGTTCCTTATTTCAAGGATCAAATTTCCTCTGGTTTCTGCCTGCTTTGGTCTCTGTCCAATATGTTTAAATAGCTGTCCTTTAATATTTTGTCTAGAGCTTATAATTGCTTTCTATAGGAAGGATAATCTGATACTTGGTACTCCCTTATGGCCAGAACCACAACATATAACTAAAACTTTTGCATCTGATTTCACCTAAGAGCTGCCTTTCTTTACTTGCAGCAAAGATTGTAGCAGTTTGAAATTTGAGATGAGCCTTTCATTTTTCAATCAGTGGTTTCCACTTCTAGATCATCATTGCTTTACCAAAAGGTAGATGCTCCAAACAGAGAAACAAATGGTTGCCTTTCTTGAGACAATCTCAAGAGAAGTATCAAGTCTGCTTTTGCTTAATTTAGTATGTATAATAGGAAGCAGCTTAGGACCATCACCTTCTAAACTCTTCAGCTGAAAGATGCGAGTTTACTGTCCATGTGGCCTCTCCATTTTACAAATAATCCTTTGAAAACATCTCTGTGACTGACCATTCATGTAAGTAAGGGAAATCTTTGTTTTAATTTTATTGAGTATGTAGACAAATCAAGGGAAGGAGAGCCAGATAAAAGAATGTAGTAAGCTGGGAAATATTGGGTGTTTACTTTGTAGGATGTGGTTTCAAGATTCCTGGTTGGAATGGCCCATACCATAAGAGTTCCAGGTGGGTGCCATGCCACACAGGAAACAATTGTACCCTGCCCCTGGGAGTAAGCCAGAGAGCTAACAAATTCAGTGTGCATTGAAATGCTTCATCAACAGGCCTTCTGCAGGGCCTGCCCTCTCTGCTGGGTCACTGACCTTTATAAGTGCACAGTCATGGCCACCGCCTGACAGACATGAAAAGAAGACAGACAATGGACGAGAAGGAGACATGCACAGAGGGGGAAAATGCACTCATTCAAGGGATTTACTGGTCAGGGATGTCATGTCCTATGTCCAGCTCCAGAATGCAAGTGACGGTATTTAAACCATGCATACCAGGCCAAAGAAATATAAATGATTTTTATTAACATAAAAATATCTCTGAGAATCATGATCAGTTTTGTGGTAGCATAAAAAAAGGTAGAAAGTTGTTCATTGCTATAAAATTTTTTTACCAACTTCTAAAAGCTGTAGATCATTAAAATTGATTAGAGTGTCATACAGCCTGATTTCAAAGGCATTCCAGACTCCAAAGACAGCATCATACGGTAGCTTGCAAGTGGGGGAAAAAATGAATTTGGGTCCTGAGTTTGTCACAAAGTAGTATAACCTTTGGTCACTTACTGAAAACCCTCATTCTTTGTCTCTGTATTTAGTGCGTGTTCTTATAGTAAAATGATCCAATTTCCCTAATATTTTAGGACATCTGTTTGTTACTGTCCTGTTGCATTCTCAGATGACTTATACAACTTCTTGTTCAGAAAGTTTAAAAATCATATTAACACAGTGAGTTTCAAAACAAGCTTCTGGAACCCTAAATTTTTCCTCATTCAACAAGAGGCCCTACTGTTATTTTACATATTAGAATTCCATGTAGGCCTATATTTATCTTCATTTTATTTTTTATGTATTTTTTTAATGTTTATTTCTTTTGAGAAAGAGAGCGAGAGTGCTCAAGCCGGGGAGGAGTAGAGACAGAGGGAGAGAAAGAATCCCAAGCAGACTCCGTGCTGTCAGCGCAGAGCCTGATGTGGGGCTCGAACTCATGTACTGGTGAGATCATGTCCTGAGTTGAAATCGAGTCAGATGCTTAACCGAGTCACCCCGGTGCCCTTAAAATTTTCCTCATTCAGTAAGATGCCCTAGTATTATTTTACATATTAGAATTCCAGGTAGGCCTGTATTTATTTTTATTTTATTTTTTAAGGGAATCCACTACTAGGGGAAAAAAACATTTGAAAACCCATTCTCAGGGATGTTCTTTGTACTTCCAAAGGCCTATAATTCCTGTAGTGAAAAAGGAATGCAAACATTTGTACCTTTTATTGATTAATTTTCAGAGGCTTCTATCGGTGGTAATAAATTACACAGCTCTACTATTCTTGGCCAAAATACTATTCTGATAGAAAAATGCTGTACTATCAATGCGTATAGGGAGAGACACGTGTTCTGAGGAGCCTAGTCTGGAACAGGAGCCCTGTGTTAGATTGCTTTTACACCCGTTCCCACTACAGAGACAGTTCTCATAGAGTGGTGTTGTCAGCTGGTTCTCCACATTTCATGGTCTCTAAGTGCATGTAACCACCCTCATCTGGTTACCTTAGCCTAGGAGCATCTCAAAAATGGCATCTTGCCTGGGATTCCACCCCTAAGTGCCTAACAACCCATCTTGATTCTTGGAGAACTTCTCTCAATGATCAGTTATTCAGGGAAAGTGATCTAATTTTAACATTAACTGAACCCAAACATAATCATGTGCATATGTCTGCAGAAAGAACAGGCATATGATGCATTTTAAAGCCAAATACAAGCGATTCTATTATTGATCATCAAGGAGTAATCTTTCTTACTACCCCCTTCTACAAATACAAGGTAACTAAAGAGGTAAAGTGTGTGAACAATCTGCAAGCGGGTTCCTAAATCCAAAGCACATAGCTGATACTCACAGTAGCTTTGACTCAAGAACCTACTCCCATATGAGGTGGTAATTCTTTTTATTTCCAGTATGCAAAAATAAAGAAATTTGGTTCTGGAAAGGATGACATCAAAGCTCATTTTAAGTCTCTGCTAAAGAGACTGAGCTCTCTATTACTTGGCAATCAAGAAGAATGAAATCTTGCCATTTGCAACTGTGTGGATGGAACTAGAGGGTATTATGCTAAGCGAAATTAGTCAGAGAAAGACAAATATAATATGACTTCACTCATATGAGGACTTTAAGATATAAAACAGATGAACATAAGGAAAGGGAAGCAAAAATAATATAAAAACAGGGAGGGAGACAAAACATAAGAGACATTTAAGTATGAAGAGCAAACAAAGGGTTACTGGAGGAGTTATGGGAGGGGGGATGGGCTAAATGCGTAAGGGGAATTAAGGAATCTACTCCTGAAATCACTGTTGCACTATATGCTAACTAACTTGGATGTAAATTTAAATTTTTTTTTTAATAAAAAAGAAGAGACTGAGCTCTCTGTGACAGAACAGAAGTGTCTGATTAAGGATTATGGTGAAAGCCTTTTCATCTTCTGAAAGAAGAGAGTGATACTTCCTTGTTAGTCTCTTTGTGGATGGAATAGCCATTCCCAGGGCTTCATGAGAAATACTGGAAGAACAATCATTGTGTTTAATATATTTACTCCCCAAATACAAAGACCCTATAGAAGCATTTATTCTGTTGCATGAAGACTCTCGTAACATTCATGTAGCAAGAAATATCACAGTCATATACTGGACACTTGACACAATTAGGTTTTTTAGATACATTTTTAGTTTGTTCTTGATTTCTCTATTCCTTTTTTGATTTCTTTATTCCTGAAGTTTTTCTTGCTGGGACAGAGGGGGAGCCACATTTAAATGTAATGGAGAGCACTGTTAGAATTCTGAGGGAAGTGAGTGTGCTAACCCCACCCACGTCATGAAGAGAAGCTTCCTCTGTGAGGTGGGATTTAAGTCATATTAATTTGTCCCAGACCACACCAAAATTAAGCTGTTCACATCCAAAACATTCCATGAATTCAGTTGCGAGGAGGAATTTGTTCAGCCATGTTATGGATTCATATTTCTCTCCTCTCCCAAGAAGGTCTGGGTGTCCTTATAAGGGAGAACGCCTCTGTTTCCCACAGTGTGGAGAGCTAAATAAATACTCTCTCACAGTCAATGCAGAGGTAACTTTTTTTTTTAATGGATTAAAAAAAAAAAAAGCAGTTCTGAGAGCCCATCACTGTTTCAGCATCCCCATTCA